TGTGAACTGATTCAGCCTGGTTAATTGCAACACATTTTTTGCATCCCAAAGTACATGGCAAATATGCAATTAAATTAAATTGCATTGTAATCAGATGGGATCCCTGAGTGATGGGCCTGGAGCTCTGGAGAAGAGAGAGCCTTAGCAAAGAAAAGCCTTCGCTCGCCCCCAACCCCAACCCAGCCCCTGTGCCTGGGCTCAAGACCACTCAGGGTCTGAACCAGATGGATTGAGGCCACCCAGCCTATGGACTCAATTCAATCCCCACCCCCAGGACATGCCACATGTAAAACTCAGGAAATGCTCGTGAGTTCTCTGGCTCCCACAGGTGAATTTAATGATGTGGAATTAAGTGAAACCTCATGGCATCACTTGGCCACCAGCTGGGTCATTGCTGCGACTTCCTATAAAACTCCCAGGAGTGAATCACCAATCCATTTCAGCCTTTGCAGACAGAGCAGCCTTCCTGGGAGTCCGCTGGCTGATCTGGCCTTCAAATGGAGTTCCAAGGAGGAGCACTCCTGCAGGGCCTACGAGATTGCTCAGCAAGAGGGTCAGCTGCCCGGGTTGTCTGGCTGTGATCGTAGGAAAGACCAGCCTGTGGCACATTGTCCTAACAGGTGCTGGGTAGTGTCTACCTGCCCCCATGAAGCTGTCCTTCCCCAATGGACACAGTGAGGCCCGGATGTGAGCTGGGCCCCTGCAACAGGAGGGAGCTATGAGAAGCGTCTTTCCCCTGACAATGAAAAATGGGGAGCTAAGAGGTCCAGCAAGCTCTGGAGTAGGTCTCACAGCTGTCCACCTCTAGCCCCACATGGGCTCAAATGGGGAGGAAGCTGGGGGTGGGGCAGAGAGTGAGAGGAAGACGAAAAACAGTCCTGGGCTGGCCTCACCCATAAAGCCAGCAGCCTGTAGCTGAGTGCTGCTTCCCATCCTGGCTGCTCTACTTCCAATCCCACTCCCTGCTCATGTGCTGGAAAGTCAGTGGAAGGTGACCTGAGTGTCCCGTCCACACGCTGTCATAAGGTGCTCCCTACTTCTACAGTGAATGAGCGCCCCGTCACTCCAACCTCCAGCGAGAGCTACTGTGCACCCCACAGGTCCAAGGTCTCAACCCCAATCCACAGGCCCAGGATGCACAAGAGACCCTCGGTCAACATGTGTCCTTTTGTGGGGACTGAGTACATCTGGTCCTGGCTCACTGTGGTTCAACTCCATTTCCACCCTGGGCTCTGATGTCCCGTTCCAAAGCTCTGACTTGACGTGGCCCTGTGACAGAGTCACAGAAGTCTGTCTCCTCGGAGCAGGTGACGCAGGGAGAGTAGGCATCGCCCTGAACAAACACGGCCCCTGGAACGTGACGCAGAGGACACCTTGTGTGGCTTTAGCACTGACAGATACTCCCTCGGGAGCCAGAGCTTAGGTCAGGCTGCCTGTCCCTGCAGCGTCCCTTTCTGCAAGGCTGTCCCCAGAGCCTCTGGTGGCACTTTTCTGCAGGTTACCTCTCCCCTACATGGCTTTGCACTGCAGGGGAATGGATGGACTTAGCTCGTGTCAGAGGCCCCAGGGGAGCTACAAGGCCGCTCACGGAGATGAAGTCAATATTTGGCGAGTCCAGAAATGAATGTGTTGGAGCAGGGGTGTGGAAGCCAAGGCAGCAGCAGATGCGGGACTGGGCGAGTCCACTGGGATCCAGGGAGGATGCCGGACCTCCTTGCATGGGCGTGGGAGGGGAAGGGGGGACGCTTCTGTGTGCCAAACCTGCCCCGGGCCACGTGGCAAGCCAGTGCTCCCGGGAGGGCTTGCGTAGCCAGGAGAGGTGGCAGCCTGCTCCGCTGAGATCCGAGAGGGCAACAGGTTTTAATCTCACTGGCTGTGGGCCATGCGTGGTGTATTCTGTCTTGTTTCCTGTGTGTGACGTCAACAAGCTAGGCACACACAGCCGAGAACAAAATGGTACTCAAGGCCAGTGTGGCTGAGGGGTCTGGGGAGGCCTGCAGCTCCCGGGACATCCCACCACCCTGATTTCCCCCCGACAACACACATAGGGACGTCCCCTTAGAGAAGCAGAAGACAGTGGGATTGTAGCACAGCAAGTTCAACATCCCACAGAAGTCCCAGTTCCAGTCCGGCTGCTCCACTTCCAACCCAGCTCCCTGCTTTCAGCTTGGGGAAAGCAGCAGAAGACGGCCCAAGTGCTTGGGACCCTGTATCCACAAGGGAGATCTGGATGAAGCTGTTGGCTCCTGGCTTCAGCCTGGCCCAGCCATTTGGGGAGTAAACCAGTGGATGGAAACTCTCTCTATCCGTCTCACTGACATTCTGTCTTGCAAACAAATCAGGTTTATCTTTAAAATAAAGGAAGAAAACAAAATAGATACAATCACTGCAGCCAAAAAGCTTTGAGGCCAAAAAGAACCTATCTTGTACTACTGCTGGAAGAACATTCTAGAAGGGAAGTTAGATGGGCTCCCCCCCATGACCACAACTTTCCCGTTACACCTGTCTCTCCCCACTGAACATACTCTCTCTGTTTTTAAATTTTATTTTTGATGATGGTTGCATAGTTGATTAACGTGGGAAGTGTTGACGTTTAGGCGAAATTGGTTGAGACCATTGTTTTCAAATCTTTTTCTCCTTCCTGTGTCTGGGGGAAGAGGGAGATGAGGAGATAAGGGGAGAAGCCGTACCCAGCCTCCCAACTGCTTGGTACCCTGGGATGGGAAATGACCACCCCAGGTCATCCCAGGGTCCTTGATGTGGAACATGCCCAGAGGAGAACATTCTCATTTTAAATTTATTCTTTAAACATTTATTTACTTTGTTTAAGAGGCAGAATTATAGAGAGAAGGAAAGAGAGAGAATCTTCCATCCACTGGTTCACTTACTTCCCAAATAGCCGCTGATCTGAAGCCTGGAGCCAGGAGCCAGCAGCTTCTTCTGGGTCTCCCAGATGGGTGCAGGAGCCAAGGACTTGGGCCATCCTCTGCTGCTTTCCCAAGCCATCAGCAGGGAGCTGGATGGGAAGTGGAGCAGCTGGGACACGAATCAGTCAGTGCTCATACAAGATGCTGACAGGGCAGACAGAGGCTTAGCCTGGTATGCCATGACACTGGCCCTTAACATTCTCTACTGGCTCACCCCAAGCAAGGGGGCTGGTGCTCAATTCTGAACTCACAAGTCCACATGCAATGTGCATCGTACTGGGCCCTGCCCGCCGCTGGAGACCACCTCAGTCCACTCCACAGGGCCTTAGAGGGGATCCTCCCCGGAGAGCCTTCCTCACTGCCTGGGCAGGCTGTCCTGCCAGCGGCTGGCCAAAGCCCCTGGGCTGTTGTCCCAAGCTAGCAACAGCAGAGGCCAGGGGCTCTGGACTCATTCTGGTTAAGGGTCTGTTTGTTTCCAGCCAGCATGAGTGTGCGTCACCCAGCCGGGCCAGGGTCACGACGGTGCTTACAGTAAACCTTTGAGGCGGGTCTTTGGGGGATTAAGGTTGCCAACTTCCCACTTCCCTGTGAAGGGAGTCACCCAACTGGATGACCTGGGCTTCCATAACAACAAATGTTGCCCAATTCTAGAACAGCAAGTCCAGTGAGATCTTGGAAAAAAAAAAAAAAAAGAAAAAAGAAAAAGAAAGAAAGAGAATAAAGTCCATGGCAGCTATTGGTGCTGAGAGGTGTCTGATTCACCAACGTCATTGTTTCAGATGCAGCTGGTGATGGGGCGGGGAAAACCAGGAGGAACCTGGGCTGGGGGCTTGGCCCTACCCAGGAAGCATTTCAGCTCTGGTCAAGGCCTCCAGGCCCAGCACCTCACCCCCAGGGCACTGCCTAAGCCCCTCGGCTGGCCAAGGTTCATGCCCATAAGTGGTGCCTCTGGGTGAAGGGTAACTGTGGGAACAGACCTTCAGGCCCCATCCCTCCACCTACTTTGAAGCCTGCCTAAGCATGGGACTATATACTAGCCAGCATTTCCTTTGTTTGTTTTTTAAGATTTATTTATTTTGATTGGAAAGGCAAATCAGGTTTACAGAGGGGAGATAAAGAGAAAGATCTTCCATCTGCTGATTCATTCCCCAAATGACCACCACAACCAGAACTGAACCGATCTGAAGCCAGGAGCCAGGAGCTTCATTCCTGGTCTCCCATGTGGGTGCAGGGTCCCAAGGCTTTGGGCCGTCCTCCATTGCTTTCCCAGGCCACCAACAGGAAGCTGAATGGGAAGTGGAACAGCCAGTGGAAGTGGAACCGGTGCCCACATGGGATCCTGGTGCTTATGAGATAAGGATTTAGCCATTGAGCCATTGCACCAGGCCCAGCTTTTCCTTTGTAAAGATTTAATTTCACATATTTAAAAGAATGGCATAGACACAGGGAGAGATGGCAAGCTCTTCCATCCACTGGTTCACTCCCCAAATAGCCACAACAGTTGGGGGCTGGGCCAGGCCAAAGTCAGGAGCCTAGCATTCCATGCAGGTCTCCCGTGTGGGTGACAGGGGCCCAAGTGTCTGGGCTATCACCCATTGCTTTGCCTGGCACAGGCACAGCAAGCTGGATCAAAAATGGAGCAGCTGGGCTAGAACGGGCACTGCAATACAGGATGCTGGCACTGAAGGCTGTGGCTTAACCCACTGCACCTCACTCTAGCCCCTAGTTACGCTTCACGTTTCACGTTTCGGTTCAGAAAGGCAGAAACAGAGAACTCTCACCCGCTCATTTCTTCCCCAAACGCTTGTAATGGCCGGAGGCTGGACTAGGCCTGCCACAGAAGCCCAGTCCATCTGGTGTTCCCACAGTGGGGACAGGAAGCCGTCACCACCATCCTCATGCTCCACCAAGGAGTCGCAGTAACAGGCTTCTGAATTGGAAGTGGAGCCAGAATGTCAAGCAGGCACAGCAGATGGCATGTGGGGGTCCTGAGCGTGTGGGGGTACTTCATTGGGCACTGCCCCAACACCTGCTATGCTTCTGCAACCTTCATCAGAAGTCGTCTCTCCCCAGGTATCAATACCAACCGGACATTAAAGAGAGGGCTCCAGAGTTTCCAGAAAATGCCATGGTACAGGCACCCACCAGACTGCGGGTAGAGATGATGCCAGTGGACAATGCCACAGACACACGGCGCATGGCTGGAGACAGCGTGAGGACAGAGGCTGTCACAGTATCCCCACGCAAATGGGGCCCTGGGCCCAGTCCAGCAGACACAGCAGAAGCAAAGAGCCAGGAGAAAGAGAAAAGCCAGAAGGTTGGCCCGTCACCACAAAGTCAGGACGCGGGAAAGGCCTCCAACAGGACAGAGGCTGCGCCGCACAGGGGTCAGGACACGGGGACGGCCAAGGGGGACAGAGACCCCAGGCAACAGTCCACAACCTCCAGGCCGACCCCAGTGAAGCCCCAGGGCAGACTAGGAACCACAGCCAAGAGACTTGCACCAGCAAGTCAGGGCAAACCAGCTGGTGTGGCCACTGCAGTGCCAGCCAAGACAGAAAAGAATGGAAGACCCATGACCGCTGTGGCCCCCAAGGAGGAGAAGGCCCCGGTGACCCCAGCCCCCAGCTCTTCCCGGGGCCCCAGCACCCAGAGAAGCCCAGAGCTAAAGGCTGCCAACTTCAAGTCTGAGCCTCGGTGGGAGTTTGAGGAAAAATACAGTATGGACGTGGGGGGCCTCAAGACGGTGAGTTTCAACCATGAACTTGTCCTCCACACGTCCCACCAGAGGCAACCTAGCCCAGCTCTGTGGGCCTGCCTGGGATGGGGATGGGGGGCTGGCTGTCAGCGGGGTGAGCTGAGCCACCCACTCTGCAACCCCTGAACCCCAGCCCCTGGCAGGGACTCACCAACAGCAAGCCAACCCTGGCACTGGCCTGAACCACCCCCAGAAAGCTTTGTGCTCCCTGCATAGCCAGCCTGCTAGGGAAGCAACCCCAGCTGGGCATGGGCACCCCCGCAGCCCCTCTCACCTGTCCCTCCCCATGCATGAGCAATGGGGAGTGCCCAGACCACCACACACAGCCGCCCTCCTCACACTCCCTGGGCACACCTGCTCCTGGGGACCACAGCAAGCCCCCAGGCTAAGGAGGACACAGAGGTGACAGGGCTCAGTGTGGTGTCAGCTGAGAAACCTGAACCGTGCCCACTGTGCCCGGTTCAGCCCTGGCCTCTGGAGCCTGACCTAGCCCTCCTGCCTGCAGACCTGCCCTGACTCAATTAAGGTCAAAGCTTCCCAGTCGCCATGGCTGCACAGTCTCTTCCTGCCCAACCTCACCCTCTTCCTGGACTCGCGGCACTTCAACCAGAGCGAGTGGGAGCGCTTGGAGCACTTCGGCCCGCCCTTCGGCTTCATGGAGCTCAACCACTCCCGTGAGTGTGCCAGGGCCAGGGTGGAGGGCGGGGCCGCCAGACCCTGGAGAAATGACAGGTGACCCTCCCATCCCTGTTCCCTACCCACACAGTGGTACAGAAGGTGGTGACTCACTTCCCCCCAGTGCCCCAACAGCAGTTGCTCCTGGCCAGTAAGCCCTCGGGGAGCGCCCCGTGCATCACATGCGCTGTGGTCGGCAACGGGGGCATCATGAACAACTCGCGGATGGGCCAGGAAATTGACAGCCACGACTACGTGTTCCGGTTAGGCCCCACCCTTCTTCCTTACCTCCTCCTGTGGGTCCCTCCTCCGCATGCACCCACCCCCCTGCATGGCCTATGCAAGTCGGTCTTTCTACAGACTGAGTGGGGCTGTCATCCAAGGCTACGAACAGGACGTGGGGACGCGCACCTCATTCTACGGCTTCACGGCCTTCTCCTTGACCCAATCCCTCCTCATCCTGGGCGGACGGGGCTTCCGGAACGTGCCTGTGGGGAAGGTGAGCCCACGGCACATGCATAGGGGTCTCGCTGAAGTGCGGCCAGGGCAGACTGCACTCATCCCCCAGGGTCTGACAGCAGAGGCGGGGGACAGCAGCAGCTCTGAGAAGAGCAGGTGGGGACTTTGATGGGGCTGCCTAGCCCGGAGTCCCCAGGATGACACCCTCAGACCACACACCGCCCCTGGTCCTTAGGACATCCGCTACCTGCACTTCCTGGAAGGCACACGGGACTTTGAATGGCTGGAAGCTCTGCTGCAAAATAAGACCCTGGACAGAAAGAACCTTTCCTGGTTCAGGTATCCACTGCCCTGCCCGCCCCCACCAGGTCCCCAGCCAGGCAGGTATCCACTGCCCTGCCCCCCCCGCCAGGTCCCAAGCCAGGCAGGTATCCACTGCCCTGCCCCCCCGCCAGGTCCCAAGCCAGGCAGTGCCTGAGCAGTGGTCAAGGGCTGGATGGGTGGCGGTAGGGGCGGACAGCCCGAGTGACCTCCCGAGGTGGCCATGCCCACGGGCCTGACTGAGCCTGGACAACCCACTCCGGACACAGACGCAGGCCCCAGGAAGCTTTCAAGGAGGCCTTGCAACTGGACAGGTACCTGCTGCTGCACCCAGACTTCCTGCGGTACATGAAGAACAGGTGAGAGTGGGTAGAGCAGATGAGGGGCCAAGGCTTCGTGTCCGGTCCCTGCCGATGTGACAGCTGTGTGTGGGGGTGGATGCCCGTCACAGGTTCCTGAGGTCTAAGACCTTGGACACCGCCCGCTGGAGGATATACCGCCCCACCACGGGGGCCCTGCTGCTGCTCACTGCCCTGCACCTCTGTGACAAGGTACGCCCCCCACCCCAGGGAGCAGGTGCAAGCAGGAAAGGGGTGCTGGGTTACCCCAGGCCTGCTGTTCACGGGACGATGGCTGGATTGGGTGCTTGCTTCTGGCACAGCAGTGCAAGCACCATGGGGACCTGACCCCCAGACGCCTGAGGGGGTGGAGCCAGAGCCAGGATGGGAGGGTCCCCCACCCACAGACTCAGCCCCAGGGGCGGTGTCTGTAGGCCACTTCCAACGTCGGCTGTCCACGCAGGTGAGTGCCTACGGCTTCATCACGGAGGGACACGAGCGCTTCTCCGACCACTACTATGACAAGACCTGGAAGAAACTGGTTTTCTACATAAACCATGACTTCCAGTTGGAGAGGGAGGTCTGGAAACGGCTCCACACCGAAGGCATCATCCGGCTCTTCCAGCGCCCCGACAAGGTCAAAGCCAAGAGCTGATGGGGGCTGGCAGCGGCCTCTCCCCTGTGCTCTGCCGGCCCAAGCCCCGGGGCATGGTGGGGCAGCAGGTAGGGGGAGGAGCCTCGCGCGCTAGCGCCCATCTCCCCTGGACACTCCTGTGACTGACAGGAATGACGATGGCCGGGGAAGTTGTCGGAGCTTGTGTGGAGACCAGGGTGGTTTGCTACATGGGATGAAGTGGGGCCTGTGACCCGAATGGCAGCTGTCCGGAAGCTCCTTAGCACACAGGAGACAGAGACTGAACTTCCAGGGACACGCGGGCTTGGTCTGCATTCCAGATCTCCTTGGCAGCTGTGATGGCTCAAAGGCAGTGAGTGGCTGATTCTAGAAGAGTCTGCATTCTCCTTTGTCTTAGAGCTCCCTGACAACTAACTGTGTTGTAGAAAAACCCATCGCTAACACGGATTAAATTATCCACAGAAACACAAATGAACTTTGTACAACAGAGCTGCCACCAATGTGCCCCCACGGCTAGTGCAGGCATTGCACCTGCTAGCACGCTCATTTCTGAGTTTCCAGCCACCTGTCTGTCCTTTGGATTCTCTGACTGGCTCCTTCCTTCATGAGCCCATTAAATCAGTAAAATCCTGAAACCTCATCACTGCTCCCAGCCCCGTCCCAGTTAACGACAGAATTGCTGGGAGCTGCATCATTAGGCGATTAGACTGCAGTGTGGACACCAGAGAACTGGGCGCACACCCCGGTGCTGTGGCCCAGGGTACACCCAGGCTCCTAGGCGGTGGCCCTGTACAGCAGGTCAGTGACACTGAAGGCAACAGATGACCTGGACACCTGCAAAAAGGGAGCGGTGACGTTTCAGCTCATCTTGGACCTGTTCAGGTCCTGATCTCTCCACTTCCCATCCGGTGCCTTGCTAATGCAACTGGGAAAGCAGCGGAGGATGACCCAGGATGGTACCCTGCGCCCACGTGGGAATCCAGAGGAAGTACCCCGCTCCTGACCTGGGCCAGGTCCAACTCCATTGGTTGTGCTCATGTGGGAGCAAACCAGTGGATGGAAGAGCTCTCTCTTTCTCTTATTCTGCCTTCCAAATAAATACTCAATTAAAAAAAAAAAACTAGATAAACATTTGTGCTTAAAAATCCTTTAACATTTTCTGTGAGGTCAAATTTTTAAGCTGTAAAAGGCTTTTCAGGTGTCCATTTCATAGGGATGTTTGGGGGGTTTTGTTTTGTTTATTTTTATTGAAAAGATAAATCCACAGAGACTGAGAGACAGAAAGATCTTCCGTCTGCTGGTTCACTCCCCAAGTGGCCACAAGGGCCAGAGCTGAGCCCATCTGAAGCCAGGAGCTTCTTCTGGGTCTCTCATGTGGGTGTAGGGTCTCAAAGCTTTGAACCATCCTCTGCTACTTTCCCAGGCCACAGGCAGGGAGCTGGATGGGAAATGGAGCAGCCAGACCTGAACTGGCATCTATCCCAGCAAATGCAAGGTGAGGATTTAACCACTAGGCCACCGAGTCGCCCCCCGCCCCCCCGCGAAGTTTTAAATGACCATAGAACCGATCTGGTCCACCAGCTACCCTTGGACTTTTCTCTCCTGCCACCGGCCATCTTTCCTTCCTTCCTTCTGCCTTAGTTCTTCGAACTAAGAAAGAACAAGACCCATGACAGGACTCTGCGAGGCCTCCCCCTCTCCAGAAGTCGGACCCTGGAACCCAGACCGCACACTTGGTGTGTGCCAGCGGTGCAGTGGCGGCTGCGCGCGGCAGGCGGCAGCCCCGGCCGCCCGGGCCTGCTCCGCGCCTCCGGCTCTGCGCGTGGGACCGGCTGCGGTGCGTTCGCGCCAGGGCGGAAGGCTCTGCTGCGTGCAGGGTTCCAGACCGACCCAACTGGTGCGGGGAGCAAAGGGACGCGGAGGGACGCACGAGGCGCCGCAGCAGCCGCAGCCGGACCCCCGGGCATGCCGGAGGGTCAGGGGGCTGGGGGAAGCTGAGAGGACCGACTCGAGGGGACCCGCCCCGACCGTCCCCGATCAGCCCCGCGCGGCCCGACAGGAGGGCGCACTGGGGACCGCGCTGGCGCCGCCGGGAGAGGGCGCCCGCAGACTTTTTGGGGTCTGATGGGAAAGAGATAATAAACTTTTGCCCGGCTCAGGGTTGGCCAGGAGCCGGAGGGACGTGCGTAGTCGCCCACACGCCACTCTTTTTGCCCTCGTGGGACGCCCAAAGCCCACTGAGCCGTCCTGAACCGTGCTACTCCGGGTCCGAAGTGGCATCAGCTCTTGGTTAGCTCATTCTGAAAGAAATAGCCAGTAGAAGAGCCAGGCAAGAGACATTCATGAGAGGTGTGAGAAGTTGGGAAGGGGCCTGTCTGGAGGTTAGGTCATGGCTTCCACCTCCGACTCCGTCCCCGTGTCCCATGTCACAGCACCCTTTGGCGTCTCACTCTGACCCAGTCCCCTACGTATGGCCTGGGAAAGCAGCAGAAGTTGGCCCTAGTACTTGGGCATCTGCGGCCACGTGGGAGACCTGGATGGATGCAGCCATTTAGAAGGTAAACCAGTGAATGGAAAATTGTCTCTCTGACTCAGTAAAACGTCTTCCTAAAACAATGGGGGTACTGAGGCACGGCTACCCAGACCAGTGCAGTGGGGTAGAAAGTCTGGAAAGAGAGGACTACAAAGGGAAGCCACTGGGCCAAGACAGCCTTGTGGTCAGTGGTGCCCAGAAACGCCAACAGCCATCCGGAAAGAGATCAAACTGGGTCTGTCCCTGGCTCTGTGACCTGACGCAAACCAACACCCAGCAGCGCAGAAGCCAACGGAGAAGTGGGAGAAGCATACAAGGAACTCCTGGGTGTGTGCCCCCTATGAGCTTATCCAACTGGAACGCCAAGTGCAATTCAAGATGAGTAAACTGTACCATGCACAGGTAATCAAATTAAAACAACACCATAAAATTGAAAAGCAAATTAAACACCTGGAGAAAATATTGGTTATGTATGTCATGAGTCATGGATTAACAACTGTTAGTTAAAAGAATTTTGACAGAAAGAAAAAAAAATCCAATAGAAAAACAGGCGAGGGTCCAGCATGGTGGCCTAGCAGCTAAAGTCCTCGCCTTGCACATGCCAGGATCCCATATGGGCACGGTTCTAATCCCGGCAGCTCCACTTCCCATCCAGCTCCCTGCTTGTGGCCTGGGAAAGCAGCTGGGGATAGCCCCAAGCCTTGGGACCCTGCACCCACATGGGAGACTCGAAAGAGGCTCCAGGCTCTTGGCTTATGGATCAGAGCAGCTCCAGCTGTTGTGGCCACTTGGGGAGTGAGTCAGCAGATAAAATATCTTTCTGTCTCTCAGTCTCTGTGGATCTACCTTTCCAACTAAAAAAGAAAATAGGTGAAGCATACAGATCTGCCAAAAAGTATTAAAATGGTACACATGTCCATTACGATAGTCTAGTAGCTGAATCCTTGCTTTGCAACCTCTGGGATCCCATGTGGGTGTCGGTTCATGTCCCAGCTGCTCCACTTTCCATCAGGCTTTCTGCTTGTGGTTTGGGAGGGCAGTGGAGGACAGCCCAAAGCTTGTACCCATGTGGGAGACCCAGAAGAAGCTCCTGGCTTTGGATTGGCTCAAATCTGGCCATTGTGGCCATTTGGGGAGTGAACCAGCAGATGGAAGATCTTTCTGTTTTTCCTTTTCTCTGCAAATCTGATCTGCCTTTCCAATAAAAATAAATAAATCTCTTTTTTTAAGCAATAAAGGAAATTTTCAAAATAGTGAGACACAGGGAGCTGCAGGCACAAAGAATCCACAGCCTGGAGCCCTGTGCAGTGGGGACAGTAGAGACAGACCTCATTTTTTTTTTTTTTTAAGATTTATTTATTTATTGGAAAGGCAGATATACAGAAAGGAGGAGAGACAGAGAGGAAGATCTTCCATCCGATGATTCACTCCCCAAGTGAGCGCAATGGCCGATGCTATGCCGCAGCCAGGAGCCAGGAACTTCTTTCTGGTCTCCCACACGGGTGCTGGGTCCCAAAGCTTTGGGCCATCCTCCACTGCTTTCCCAGGCCACAAGCAGGGAGCTGGATGGGAAGTGGAGCTGCCGGGGTTAGAACCGGCGCCCATATGGGATCCCGGCACGTTCAAGGCGAGGACTTTAGCCACTAGGCCACACCACCAGGTCCAAGACAGACCTCATTTTATGACACAGGGTGGTCAGCAAGACACATTGCTAAGTTAAAGATAAGACAACGGGGTAGAGGACAACTTCTGCTTTTTACATGGGAGACAAGAAATACGAAACATACACGTGTCTGCCTGTCTCTGCAAGGAAGCACGCAGGTGTGACACCTTGTGGGGCTGGCAGCCTGTTGAGACTGGCAGGGCACCTAAGGGCAGGATGGACGGGACGAGAGGGTGGAGAGGGGCTCACTTCCTGCCCAGTTTTGCCTTGACTTTGTAGAAGCTAAAACCAGTAGAAATAACTGCCAGATGGGAAACCTGACCACATCAATGTGACTCACGGCCACACAGGAAGAACACGAGGGAAGGAGCAGTGAACCAGGGATCCAGGGGGAAGAAGCCAAAAGTAGGTATGCTGATGTTAGCCAGCCCATGGGGTAGCAAGCTAAAGCTCTGACCTGTGGCATTGGCATCCCATATGAGTACCAGTTCAAGACCCGGCCACTCCACTTCCCATCCAGCTCTCTGTGGCCTGGAAAAGTAGTGAGGATGGCCCAAGTCGATGGGATCCTGCACCCATATGGAAAACCCAGAGAAGCTCCTGGTTCTTGGCTTCGGATTTGCTCAGCTCTGGCTATTGCAGCCATTTGGGGAATGAATCAGCAGGTGGGAGATCTCTCTCTCTCCACACCTTCTCTTCTCTCTGTGCCATGCTTTTCCATAAAAATAAACAAATCTTTTAATATCTATATATCCCAGAAGCCAGGGGTGAGGGAGACTCCCTCTGGCTAAATGTCAATGAATAGAAGAATGCCACTAATAATAG